TCTTCTATTCTTTTAGTATAGTTTTAGTATATAATATTCTTTTACTATAATATATATCATTAAATCATAAATCATAAATCTAATAAATAATAAATCATAAATAATAAACAAATCAGCCTTCTGAAACATGAAGTCAAGATTATTCTCATCTCTTCCCTCCTCCTGAGACCCCTGCAAGTAGCACCACACAAAAGTAACAGAAGGAAATGTCCTAAGTGTAAATACAAAATTTCTACAGCATCCTGGTTCTCCCTGTGTTGGACTAATTTTTCTCTCAGGAAAAAATCTCATGAAGGTATTTTTATCTACTAAACATGTATTTGTCCAATGAGTAATCACAGAGAAGTGAGAGCCATAGGATGGGGCTGCAAGAACATAGCATGGTTAGGATATTCCCAGAGCAGCTCTGATCAAAAATTAAGTGATGTACCTTCATTTTTTTTCTTCTACTGTAGACTGCTTCTGGTTTGTGTAATAGCTAATTTAATCAATTTAACCTCACTGTTACTTAGGATATTTCATTTCTATAATTATTTTTTCTTTATTTAAATAACTGGGACAGTTATATTTTCCAGTACTACTGGTATTGATAGTACTAGTTAGTAGTATTATTACTTACTAGCATTTGATTCTCACTGTTAGAAAGCTCCTTGAAGTTCACAAGGTAATTACACCTATTTAAATGGTTCATCACCTTCCGAGTCAGTTTATTAGTCATTTCTCAACACACTGGAACTCTCTTCTGGAAAGCATTCCTTGGTTTTGTGTGCTGCCAGCATAAATCTATGTTGGGACACACATGGACCTTACTGTGAGCTGTGTCTGCACTGTTAGCTGATGGAGCAGGGAGAGAAATGAAAAACAAGCAGCCCCCTTGAAATTCTGTCTGGACACCTGGGATCCTGAGAAAATCATAGAAAATGCTGAGTTGGGAGGGACCCATGAGGATCATGGTGTCCAGGTCCTGATGAGGAGCATTCCCACCAGGTGCACATCCCTGCAGTGCTGAGGGGTAACAAGAGGCAAAAAGGCTTCTCTGGGGCAGCTGGCTGTAACTCACCCCACAGACACCACCAGCGCGCCACTTTCCTCGGCAATGTACTGGCAGATCCTTTCATGGGAATCTGAAACACATCAAATGATGTTTTACTGTCCATAAACACTCTAGCTCCCCTCATCCCTCTCCCCCTGCTGCCTCCTCCCTTTGCAGGGCTGGATGGGAAAACCCAGCTGGAGTTCAGCCTTACAGCAGCTGGAGGTTATATCTTTTCTAATACATTTTTAATTATTGTTTTAATTAATCATAACCAGTATATTAATTATAAGCAGTGTGTCAGTCTTAAATCCCTTTTAGGCAGCATGTAGCTGACTTTCTTTGTACAGACTATCATCGTTGACTTGACTGGGAAAATCACTGAAACTTTTGAAAGTTTTGCCCAACTAACCCTGATATGCTTCAAAGAATAAAGCCTGGGAGAGGGTGTGTATTGCTGAAATTGGATACAAGAAAGGCAGAATTTATGGACTTCAAGGACATTTCCTAGAAACCAGAATATAAAGAAGCAGTGAACAAAAGTATGTTGGAAAGTCCCTACCTGAGGAAAAATACACTACAAAGACGAAAGAGGATAGAACACCAGTTAATGAAAGAGAATTAAGTAATTTATGATAAAGCAACGCCCGCCTGGCTAACGGACAGTGCCGCGGTGCTGAGGTGGCGAAGCCAGGCCCGGGCTGTACCGAGGCTGCAGCAGATCCAGCCGAAGCCCCAGCTAACAAAAGTATGTTGGAAAATCCCTACCAGAGGAAAAATACAGTAAAAAGACTAAAGAAGATAGAATACCAATTCATGAAAGAGCAATAAGTAATTTATGCTAAAGCAACGCCTGCCTGGCTAACAGGGACAGTGCCGGGGTGCTGAGGCGGCAGAGCCGAGGCTGCAGCAGATCCAGCCGAAGCAGCAGCTAACAAAAATATGTTGGAAAATTCCTACCAGAGGAAAAATACACTAAAATACGAAAGAGGATAGAATACCAATTCATGAAAGAGAATTAAGTAATTTATAACAAACGGGCATCAATTTCTTTGCTTGCTGAAAGTATATAAATAAATGAAAAGGTTTTGCATCAGCGTCGTGTGGAGGCCGGAATTCTGTTGGCCACCAACACACAGTGTACGCTAAAGCAACGGCCGCCTGGTAACAGGGACAGTGGGCCGGCAGCAGAGCGGGGCTGGGGCCGTACCGAGGCTGCAGCAGATCCAGCCGCCGCCGTGGAACAGCAGCACGGCGGGCCGCGGGTGCGTGGAGGGCCCGCGGGGCCGGTACAGCCGCACGGGCACCCGCCCGAGCCGCGCCTCCTCCTGCCGCACCCCCGGGGCCGGGGCCGGCCGCCGCCCGGAGAACACGAGGCGCTTGATGGCCAGGCTGCTGCACAGCTCTATCTTCTCAAAAATCCTGCCCTGTTGGGAGAAGGAGGACAGCCAGGGTGAGATGAGGGGAGACCGCGCACGGGCAGCCCTGAGGGGGGAGGCCGGCGAGGGGGCACCAGGAGAAGGGAGAACCGTGTGAGGGGCAGCTGGTGAGGGGCACCTGGAGAAGGGCAATTGGAAAGTCACAACTGGTGAGGGGCAGATGGTGAAGGGCAGCCAGTGAGGGGGCACCAGGAGAAGTGAGAACCGTGTGAGGGGCAGCTGGTGAGGGGCACCTGGAGAAGGGCAGTTGGAAAGTCACAGCTGGTGAGGGGCAGATAGTGAGGGGCACCAGGAGAAGGGAGAACCGTGTGAGGGGCAGCTGATGAGGGGCACCTGGTGAGGGGCACCAGGAGAAGGGCAGTTGGAGAGCAGCAAATGGTGAGGGGCAAATGGTGAGGGGCACCAGGAGAAGGTAGAATGGTGTGAGAAGCAGCGAGTGAGGGGCACCAAGAGAAGGGAGAACGGTATAAGGAGCAGCTGGTGAGGGGCACTGGGAGAAGGGCAGTTGGAGAGTGGCAACTGGTGAGGGGCAAATGGTGAGGGGTAGCTGGTGAGGGGCACCAGGAGAAGGGCAGCTGGTGAGGGACATTCATTGAAGGGACACCTGGTGAGGAGGAATTGGTCATGGGGCTCCTGGAGAGTGACGGAAATTGGTGATGGGGCTCCTGGTGAGGGAGGCCTTGCCAGTGCTCCCAAGTGTCTCTCATCCCTCTAAGGTTTCTGGGGTTTCTGGTTTTTGTCTCCTTTAAAAGCATCCAGTCTCCCATTACTTCTGCTTCCATTGCCCAGCCTCCCATGTTGCTGGAAAGCCCCAAGAATGGCCTAAAAACATCATGTGTGCTTAGCTAAAGTGGAAATCAAAGCAATCTCATTTTTTTATAAATATTTCATTTTAAATTTAATTATGGAAGCTCAGCTGATAAAGCTTGGGCTCTAATGGTTGACTTAATCCTTATGTAATAGGGAAAAATCTGACTGAGGTCTAATAGAAATGATTTTCCAAACACTCTGCTCTCAAGTCAGCCCCCAGAAGAGAAAAGCATCCTTTAAGCCTTGATAGAGCTGGCAGGATTCTGATATTTACATGTAGAGTGAAATTAACATCTAACAACATCTAACACGTAGAATGAAATTAACATCTAACAAGGTTTCTCACAGAAGTTGCAGCAGTTACTCACCAGAGTAGATGTAACAATCAAAACAGCAACAATAAGTCGAAGTTTTCCAGGATTGTTCACTCCAGGAGGGATGCTGCAATTGGCATACTCAGTTTGAATTGTTCTTATGATTGCTGATATGAATGAAACAACAAGAATCACCAGCAGTATCACTGGCACTAGATAAAAAAATGCCATTTCAGGTATCCTGAGGTGAAGTGTCTTCACACCTATCTTTGAATTGGCTTTTTCAGGTAACAGCAAGGCCTGGAGCAGTCCCAGTTGCAAGAGATCTCTCAGGTGTTGCTCACTTTAAAGTCCTTGGAAATGTTTTGCAATGTGCCAGCAGGTATCACATTGGAGAAGAGTCAATGTGTTTAATTTCCTGTTTATCTTTATGGTAATTGTGGGACTGATAAAGGGTCTGGTATTAAATAAGGAACTATTGGATTGCGGATGATAACAGTGAATGCTCAGAGGCTGCAGCTGATTCCTGAATGAAGTTCTAGTCTATGACAGAGAGGCAGCGAATGTGGAGATTAAAATATCCCTTGCAGCTGATCTGCAGCCAGGACATTCACTTCCTGCATCGTGGGCATGCTTTACATGGTTTGGAATACATATGTTTAACAGGGACTTCTAGAAAAGAAATGGGAAGAAGAGAGGGGTGGGGGGCAAAAGGTAAGTAACAGGGTCTGCAAAAGTGAATGCATCACTCCTATTTTGTTGTTAGATTATTTGAGGCTTGAAGCAGCCTTGGCTAGACCAGGTGTCCCTTTGGAATGGGATGAGCTTTAAAGTTCCTTCCTACCCAAATCATTCTGTGATTCTAGGAATCTATTCAAGCACGAGTTTTTCAGCATACACAAGAACAAGTTTTTCAGCTGGTGATTTTTGTATGTTTGGTAAACACAAGAAAACACTTAAAGCATTTTCCCCATTGTAATTTAAACAAAGCTGTCAATAGAGTATTTCTGTTGGGAACAGTTACATTTCTAAAAGTCAAGTTAACTAATGTGACTTCATTCTTTTGAGTATAAAATACTGGTTACTTAGCCAACAGACATCTTCTTCAAATGGGGACTCAAACTCAGGTGCTACATGTAGCAGAGAGAACAGGCTGTGCATTATAGCACTGTAGTGACAGTGTCTTTCTTCTTTGCCAAAACACACACTTCTAGGAAGAATGAAATTGTTGACTGTAATTGAATAAAACAGGTCAGACCAGATGTTGGCTTAAAAGATTTTACTGCATCTTTTATATGTACTGAGAGAGCAGCTCTTGTACTGGACAAGTGTCTAGTCCAAACAGATGATTAAAATAGGCAGACTGCACATGGACTACTTCAAACAGCACTAAAAGAAATTATTCTTGAAATGTCTTTTATGGTGATCACACTGGCGTAAATGCCTATTAAAAAGTTGTCATATATGAACATCTTATATGGAATTTAGAAGCATAAAAGACCACAGAAATTTGGCACTTCTTACAGAAACAAAGAAAAACGTTGCTATAAGCTTCTTAGAAAATTCACAATGCTGTCAAGGCCCCTTTTTCCAGCTGGAAATGACAACCAGCCACTATTAAATGAGTTTATGATCCCATGGAATCCATCCTCAAGGTGGTACCAGGTCACTGGAACCCCATTGTCCTCCAGCCTCTTCTTGTACAACAAGCCATCGTCCCTCAGCACGTCGTACTCGCAGGTCAGGATGAAAGATTCTGGCAGCTGCTGGATAATTGTGTCCTCAGCCAGCAGTGGGCACAGCGTGGGCTCACGGAGTCTTTTCACTTTCTCAAAAACTGCAGGCTTGAACTCAGAGGGCTTGTGTGGTTGGTAGCCTCTGACCTTAAATTCCTCAGGGATGTTGTCTGGACTCACCCACTTTTGATACTTTAATTTAATATCTGGAGGAATATGGGAACCCTCCAAGACCTCTTCCAGATTTGATGTGTCCCCTTGTACGTACTGCAAAGAATAGTAAACAGCTCGCTCCCGGAAGAGCAGAGGGACCCCCCGGTTCTGTTGGTAGGACGGTAAATTGAAGTCCAGGGCCTGCAGGCCTGGGTAGATGAGGATCTGAGCACGGAGCCTGGGCAGGTCTGACCTGCCTGCCAGGGTCTGGCTGACAGCAGCTGCCAGGTTGCCCCCAGCACTGTCCCCACAGACAGCGACGCGGGCAGGATCCACGCCGTAGTGCTGCAGGTGCTGCAGGAAGTGCTGGCTGGCGCTCAGACAGTCTTCGTAGGCAGCGGGGTATTTGTGCTCAGGGGCCAAATGGTACCTGGGACACACAGACAAGTGTAACAGAAGGAAATAGGACTTTTAAATGTATTGCTAAAGTCCTGGTCCCTGCAACCAGGAACACCCTGATTTCTGCATCCAGGAACACCCTGATTTCTGCAGAGTTTTACTTGTCTCCTCTCAATAGGATTACCATCAATAAGATGAGGTGGTGCAGATTATTTTGTTATGATATAATCTGTTTATGATGTCTCTTAGGTCTTTAACAACAAATGTAGGTTTTATTGACAATCATTTAGTTACTTTCTGCTTCAGTTTTACATGGGTTGGACACAAATGACTTCTGGTCTATATCTTTGTTACATAAATTTAAGTTACATATCCTTGTAATCCAAATCATTATGCCAGTATTTTGATCATGTATTACCTTGTCATTCACACTGTGCTTCTCTAAGCATCAAGCAGGCCTTCCTTGAATAAGTGTCAAGGAGACCACATAGCTTACAATCTATTCACAATCAGTTTTGAGTTTGGAACTTGAAAATATTCATTCAAAACTTCATTTTTCAGCTAGATATCCCAAAGTGTAGTTTGTGATGTAATCAGACAGTGAAAACAGCCCAAGTGAGTCTTCAGTGTCTCCAAGCAACAGCAAATGAAGTTGTAAATCACATAGTTGAGAAGTCCCACAGAGACATTTCTCTGAGTAAGATTGTGGCTGTGACTGAGGGGACAGGAGGTGATATTTACACTATAGGAAATCATCTCTCAGAATCAGCATGAGCAAAGACTCACCCCACAGATACAACCACAGACTCACTTTCTCTGGCAATAAAGCGGCACAGCTCTTCGTGGGTCTCTGAAAGAGATTTGGTGGGGTTTGGGTTTAGGTTGGGGTGCCTTTTCTCTCCAGAGAAGAGATGTTATCTATTGGAGAAATCAAAGAATTGCAAGAAGGAAATGGTCTCTGCTTTTCCCTGCTGCTTCCTACAAAGGTCCTCAGTTCTTTTGTACCTCCTCATCTTCCTATTTCAGTATTTTTTCCCCTTATATCATTGCCCTGTAAGAAAAATCATATGATCCACAGCAGATGCTTTCTTCTGGCAGCAAGAATTATGAGATTGAACCTGTGGGTATATTCAAAGTTTGCAAGTGCTACAGATCAAGAAACAACCAACTTTACTATTTATGAAGTATGTATTTCTTTAACTGAAATATTTCTGGTAGATATCTTACCAAGACTTCCAAATACCCATCCTCCTCCATGAAAAAATAAAACTCCTCTCCTTTGGCTGGCAGATGGAGCCTTAGGCTGGTAAATCCTTACAGGCACTTTGTCAAACCACAGATCCTTGATGAAGAGCTTTGGGTGTGCCCCCAGAGTTTTTCTTCCTTGCATGTACCTCACAAAGCTCACCTGAGTGCAGATGCCAAAGTTTTCCAGAATCTTTCCCTGTTCAAAGGCAAAGAGAACAGAGAGCTCACTCAGGAAAGCCTGTGTTTTCCAAAGGAAAGGAACTGTGTGGACAGTGAACTCACAGGGCCTAAGTCATGTGTTTTTAGGGCAGTAGTAAACTAATGGAGTAGTTGTACAGGTCTAGGAGAAAACTGAACAAGTAACAGCAGCATCAAGAGGGGTTATGAGAAAGTTACATGAATGAAGAACGGAACCCCAAACAATGCAACATTAGCAGACTGGGGAGATAGAATCCTCTGCTTCCTCAGCAGGTCCTTTACCTAACATTGAAAGCAAGTTTGGTTTTCACTGGTTATTCTATCCTTCCCCCCCAAATGATGTGGAAACACAGCAAAAGATGAACATTCTGGTGCTGATTTTCATGGTACAGACACTTGCCCAAAGTAGAGTTGACTAAGTTAAGAATATGTTTGATAATTGCTTTTTCCTAAGCCTCGCTGATGTGTGCCGTGCACTGACAAGAAGATCCTGACATATTTAGTAGGAATGAGCTTCTGTTCATTCTCTGGCATTCTCTGTGCCACAGGGATACTCATGCCAGGTACCAGAAAATGAATACAAATCAGAGCTAGTGCTTCAACAGAAGTTTGCATTTAAAAAAGTATCTCCTCTGTTTTGAAATGCATTGTTCAGCCATGCCAGTCAGTACTTTGGTCCTTAGGAATATTTGGATCAAGTTCATATTACTCAAGATTCTGTCATGAATATTTCTTATTAGCCAGCCACATTTGCATGGATTGTCAGTAGTGTCATAACTCTGAATATATTTATCTACAAAAGGCCTTTTGTTTTCATCAATTCAAGATATTTATAATATTCTTCTTGCCTGATCTTGAGGAAATATTTCTTGAAGAAACTAAGACATTTTGCAATGTATCAATTTTAAATTTTTACAGAAACTAGTCTTAGTGTCTCCAGTTGTATGATAAAATGATCTATTCTTTTGTATTTGCTATTTTCCAAGCAGGAATGGAACAATACCAAGGATATTTTAACTTTTACACTCAACTTGTTTGTTTTCTTTCACCCTGTGTTGCTTACATTGCAGCATACAATGCTGGTTTATGGTGGGCAGTGGATTGATGATTAAAAGAGAACTGGCTTTTCCAGCTGCTTAAGTGATGTAATCTCTTTCTAATTACAACTTCTATGCAGCCAGAACATTAGAATATATATATCTAGAATTCTTTACTATGATTGACCATAATCTAGAATATTTATAACAGAGAATTTTTTTCTCTTTGTTTTCCTTTTTAAATTTTAAATAGCTTCTATCTCTTTGCAGATATTCCATTAAATTAATTTAGTAAATATATGCACCACCTCTGTTACCTCCTGTCTGATGCCATGTCTCATCAGAGCATCACCTATCATTACACAGAAGTAGCTGTGATTCAGTGAGCTCCTCTGTCAGCAGAGCTCACCAGATGTTGAGTGCTGCTCTTGGAGACTGATTGCTGTCCCACACACTTTACAAGCTGCTTCACCTGGAGAAGCTGGGCTGGTCAGAGCCCCTCATTCCCATCAGATAATCCTGCTTAGTTGCTGCAGGAGTTATATAAATGTGCTTTGGGCAGAAGAATTCCTTCAGCTCCTCTTGAGCAACGTTACCTAATTTTGTCCCTTGTGTGACAGAAAGTTTTCCTTCCCAAGGCCAATCCTGAAATGTTCAGCTTCTCACTTCATATTCAAAATAAATACAGAATTCTCATCCTCATGCTCACAAAAAGCTTGAAAGCACAGTCCAGAGACATCTGGTATAGTCTGAGCCAAGAATGGAAATACAAATGATCCAACATGGATAAACATTGTAAATCAAATGATTGCTAGGTCAGCTGGAGTGAGGGCAGAAGCACAGTGAGACTTTCACACACTTGTGTTAGGGCAGCATTTAGGAACCGCCTCAGATGGAGCTGGGCAGGACTGGATTAGAGCAGTGCAGTGTCAGAAGTCTGGCAAAAGTTTCTTCAGCAACACTCAGCTCAATATAACATGCAGCATGACAGCAATGCCCTGCTCTGCTCTCCAGAACATAATTCCATGCAGGTTTCTAGCACAGAAGTAAGTTTAAAGTCTACAGGTTCTCTGTTCTTCCCCCAAAAATCATCCCAGGTTCACTTACCACCACAGCTGTGCATATTAAAATTATATGAATGATCCGGAGCTTTGCAGGCTGAGTCACTCCAGGAGGAATTTCTGAGTTGGAAAAATCAAAATTAATTGCCCCTATGACCAGCAATATAAATGAAGCAAGAAAACCAGCTAAGAATAACACCAGCACTGTGAGTACAACTGCCATTTTGCTGAACTGCAGGGATCTGAGACGTCTTTGATTTGACTTTCCAATATATATTTGCCTTGTTACTTCCTGATTCTTTGTTAATCTTCCTGATTCTTTGTTTGCTCCAGTAAAAACCTTTCTCCTCCCTTTCACAAATGCATTAGCAGGTATCTTTCCCTCTCCCACTTTCTTTCCCCCCCATTCCTGTTATCTCACAAAAGATAAGTTGGCCAAAGTCCTTGATTTGTCAGTAGATCTATGCCAGCAGCATTTTGGAATTTTTGCAAGAAACCAGTGCTTAGCTGGGAGAAGAATTATGAATGAACTGCATTAGTATTAAATTAGTTGAAGGTGGAAAATGGACAGAGGGGATTTGTGTGTTTTGAGTTTGTGGCACTGTAAAACACCCATCTGGAGAATTTCCTCAGGAGTGGGAATGTGCATGTGATGATTGTCCCTCAAAAGGGCCAAAGGGGTTGTCACCAGTGCTCTTTGGAAAGATGCATTAGAAAATGGTGTCATTACCCAAATCTCAGTTCTTTTCAGTATTTGTGCCTTCTTCTAACAGAAGAACATGCTTTTAAAAAGCCACAGGAGGTTGACTTTAGATTCATAATTAGGTGACCCTGTAGCAGGTAACTTTCAGTAACTCTACGTGCAACAAATACAGCTGATAATGACTTAAGATAACCAGTGACTGAAGAGTTCTGAATCAAACTGCTTTTTCTTGTTCTTGCTGAGAAGTAGGATTATGCTAATGTGGAGGAGGTGTATTTTAAATGATGAAAAGAAATTAATTGTGAATCTAAGCCTGCAGATCTTCAAACAACTAGGTTGTCAGAACATTTAAATTGCAAATTCATGGGAAAAGAAAAGAGGTAAAAAATCTAAACTTATTAGGTAGCAATGTGGGGGCTTGGGGCTTTTTTTATGTGTTGTTGTTGTAAAGTCAAATTATAAGTGATAGGGGGAAAGTATCATGTTATTTTAGTTACAACACTTTATAAAAATTTAATTTTATATTGTTTCTCTACTGTGAGTTTGAGTGTTTTTAATAGGGCACATGGTCATCATAAAATAAATAGAATATTCTGAAGTAGAAGGAAATCTTGTTTCAAAAATCAGCAAAAGCCCAAATTTGAAAAAAAAATAGTCCATCCAGCGTGTTTGTGGATTTTCAGTTTGTATTGTGTTTTCACAGTTGTGTGGTTATGTCCAGTTGTTTGGTAGGTTAATTACTGACCACAGCACAGATGTGACCAGGTAAAAGCAGCAGCATTGTGGTCTCTGTGTTGTTTTTCCTTTCATCACAGGAGGGGGTTTTCAGTTGTGTTCATTAGTCAGTATGTGTTTAACAAATGTAACTCTCACTCATGCGTTTAGCAAATGGAACTCTCACTCTTATAACAGAAATATTTGCAGTGCAGGTTTTTTATTTTGTTGTTGTTGAAAGCATCACAGAATCACCATAGCATTACAGTGATAATATGGATAAAATTGTGCTTCTCTGCCTTCTTTACATGATTTACAGATTTTTTTCAACACAGCAGAACAGGTAGTCTTGAGCATAATATAATCTTGAAAGAAAAAAGGGTTATGGAAAAGCCTCATCTCTGCACTTCTCTGACATCCACACACTCATTGAAGTTCAGAGATTCCAGTTTGAGAATGAAGTTCCAAAATGAAACATCATTTCTCAGATCCCAAACAAAATCACACTCATGCTAGTGGCAGTTTAGGATTCCTGCTCCAGACAAGAGCCTTCCTTTTGACTTCCCTATTTCTGGAGCAGTGTAGTTTTTGTAGAGACTAAACCCAGAAATTAAATTCATGGCTACAATTTCAGTATCTGCTGTAAGACTTCATAGTAGCTGAGTTCTCCATCTGATACCATCAACACCTCTTGTCTGTCACAAGGGCCAAAGCAGACCTCAGTTGTTGTCTTCAGCATTTCTGGGTTGTTGAAGTATCTTCATGGAGATTCTTGTCTCTTGCCTCCAGTGTGTGCCAGCCATGCAAAGATACTGGAATTGCTGTACTTTTAGTCAAACAGGATGCATTGCCTTTTTCATGCTGGTCTTATTGGTGTGTTTTTACAAGAATATTTTCTAGAATGCTTATTATTATTATTTGAACTAGAAAATTCAAATAATCTTAACGTTTGTTTGAGAGTCACTACAGAAGCAGAAATCAGAAACTACAAAATGCAGTCAAAATCCAAACCATAAATGAAAGGTGTTTATATCCCTTGCCAAGTATAAATTCACAGACATACTGCATGACTTGCATCTTTCTTCTGAAAAATACTTCTATAAACTGTTTATGTAATTCACAATACTGTCCATTATCTTATTTGCAGATAGAAAGGAAAAAATCCCATAGCCAAAAAAGGCTAAAATTCCATGGAAGCCGTTCTCACAATGATACCAGGTCACTCGAACACCATTTTCCTCTAGTCTCCTCTTGTATAACAGACCATCATCCCTCAAGACATCAAACTCACAGGTCACAATCAAGGATTCAGGGAGCTGGCAAATAATGGAATCTTCAGCTAATAGTGGGGAAAATGTTATTGCTAAAATTTCTTTGATAGCTTCATGGACTTCAGGTTTATATGATGCAGGTTTGGTTGGTACATAGCCTCTAACCTTAAATTCATCAGGAATAAGGTCAGCACTTACCCATTTCTTATACTGGTGTCTCATACTATCAGGAACATGGCTGTTTTGTAGAACCTCTTTCCAAAATGTGGGTTTTTTGTTAAGGTAACGAAAACAGAAGTAGATGATCATCTTCCGGGACAATATGGGGACAAAAGCGTTCTGCTGGTAGGAGGGCAAGTGGAAATCCAGCCCCTGGAGTCCTGGGTAAAGCAGGACCTGAGCACGTACTTTTGGCAGATCTCTGTCATTCAGCAGTATTTGGCAAATAACTGTGGCAAAATTAGCCCCACAGCTGTCACCACTGAGGATGATGAGACCAGGATCCACGTGATACTCTTCCAAATTCCTCATGAAGTATAAGGTGGCATTGAGACAGTCAAAATACTGCCCTGGGTAGGGATGTTCAGGAGACAGACGGTACCTGAAATGGCAAAGTGGGGTTACAAACATTCAATTTGTGTTGTTTGCAGTTGCTGTGGTAGTTATGCAGACTTTTTTCTTAATTTTAAAGATTACATTTGGGTTTAACTAATGTAGATTGGAAGGCCAAACTAATGATGCTACAGCTATTTCAGAATATTTGCCTATATGCACATTTCTAAATTAAATGAAAGGTTTAAGTGAAAAATAGGGATATGATCTAAAACAGTAAATATTTTCAGCATGTTTTTCAGAAGAGTTTCAACTGAGAGCTGCATTCCCATAAATACTCTTATGGCAAAAATAGACTTCTATAGCACTTACCCAACAGACACAACCACTGAGTTGCATTTTTTGGCCATATAGCGGCATACTCTTTCAAAGGCTCCTAGAGAGAAAGTTCAGCAGAAATGATGATTTGAAAATCAAATATCCTTTAGAAATGAAAATACAGATCCCTGAACATGTGCTACGTGGAAGGCACTGCAAGATGAGACTGATAAGGAGCTCATGCTATGGAATTTGGTCTTTACACATCAGTCCATTTTCTGTTGGCCAGTGGCTCTCAGGGCATCACACAAGCATGTGAGGATGGTGATACTGGGGAAACCCAGAAATCTGTCTGGTATGGTCTCACATCTCACTTGGTGGTCAACAAAAGGAGAGTGTAAGCTGAGGACAAACAGGAATGAGGAGCATACAGGAGTGTGAGGCTGAGGGTGCTCCTTTGAGACCCAATACCCTTGATAAGCATTTCTTGTGTGAATTATCCAAACCACTTGTTAAGCCCATGATTTTAACCTTAACCATAACAGCTTTGTGCAAAGAGGAGCTCTCTCACTTGCTTACAAAGGTGTGAAGAGCCATTTCTAGTTGCCCCTTTTGTACCTGGCACTCACTGCTTCCACATGGTGGAATTCTTGTACTGTAAGAAATGGTGGATAAATCCTTCCCCATTTAACTTCTCTTGCTTCTCATGATTTTGTAGTCCCTTAGTGTATCTGTCTTTATGCACCTTTGCAGCCTGAAGAGTCATAGTTCATTCACATATTCTCTGCACAGAAGCACTTTTCTCACCTAGGCAGCCTCTCCTCTCCTTTATCATTTTTGAGGAGTGGGAAACAGAACTGTATGCTCTATACTGTATTTAGATACACCATGGATTTATTACAGTGGCATAAAAAAGTTTTCTGTTGTCTTTCCTTTCCTACTAATAATTGCTAGCATTTTGTTTGCTTTTTGACTGCTACTGTGCACTCTGTCAACAATTTCAGTTAACTTCCTACCATAACTACCAAGAGCTCCTTCCTGCTCCTGCTTGGAGTCCATTGCTTCATTTATAAGGTCAGAATGCTCTGTTCATCTGTTTGACTTTTCTACATGCCATTTCTCCTGTCATTTTATTCTCTGATCCTCTGCTGTCATAAAGAATTCTGCAGTTTTTCAGCCATCCATTTATGACCCTCAGAGAATTTAATACCACATCACCCTGTTTGAATGAATTGATTGAATAAATTGATAAGCTCTGCTCCCAGTACAGATCTCCTTATGGAAATCTCACAGGAAGTTCCCATAACTCATCATTTTTCTCTCTTTCAATCAGCTGTCATCCAAATGAAAGATCTTCCCTCTTGTGTCATGGGTGTGTAGCCTCTTTAGGAGAATCTTCTAGAAATCAAAGTGGGTTTTAGCCACTCAGTCTCCTTTATTCATGTATTTGCTGACTTAACTTAAATTGATGGAACTGTAAAGAGTGGGATTAGATTAGATATTAAGAAATTCTTCTCTGTGAGGGTTGTGAGGCCCTGGCACAGGATGCCCGGAGCAGCTGTGGCTGTCCCATCCCTGGAAATGTTCAAGGCCAGGTAGGACAGGGCTTGGAGCAGCCTGGGATAGCAGGTGTCCCTGCCCATGGTGGGGACCTGGAATGAGATTTAAGGTCTCTTCCACCCAAACTATTCAACAATTCTAGGATTTGAGAAGTATGACATCCATTTGAGGAATAAGCCACAGTTATCTGTCTGCTGATTACTTTCAGTGTAGCATCTGCTAATTTGCTGGTTGCAGACTTCAGGCTTCCTAGGCTGGGGATTCCCAAAGGCCTTCTGAAAGCTTGTCATCATGTTGTTTTCCTGTTATCAAACACCAAAAGGAATTGAAGGCAAAGGTCAGGTCCCACTCTCAGTGTACAGCTATGGCTGTTACATCAAGCCATGCCACGTGAACAGGGACTCACTGTGCAACTTGTGGTGTGTTTTATCCTTCCAGTGAGAGGGATTCACCTGCCACTGAGATCACAGAGTGCCTGCCACCCCTGGAGTCCTCACTGCCACCCAGACTAGCTCTAGACACGAGCCTGGCACTCCCCCAGGCTCCTGTGCCCTGAGGACAGCAGGGTGGGTTATCTGTGCAGAGGAACCCACGGCACAGGAGTTATGTTGTGATTCCTGCACGGGGCTGAAGGATGCCAGGAAATTCAATCTGCCCAGTATAGTGCAGACTTAGCCTTGGAAACAGCAAAGGATTCAAACCCCTCAAATTGCACTGCATGACCCCTGGAATGAAGTTCAGATTTTGATGTTAGGTGCCTTGGCTTGCAGAGAAGGCACTTGGAGTCTTAGCAGCTCAGAAGGAGATCCAGGATTCAAGGAGCTGAACTCCCAGCTGCTGAGACAAGGGCTGTCTCCCTTTCTGGAAAAGAAATCAAATATCCTGTGCCATGTCACCACAAAAATCAAACTTCCCCAAATTGCTCCTTCATTGTTTATATTTTCCTTCATTTGGATTCCTTCTTTGCATGAATGGAAATTTATTTACAGATTTTTAAAAAATTATTTAAATCTTTCCTTGGACCCATATTATATATTTTATGTAAGATAGGGTAGTCTTAGTAGAGCATCATCCCTCACTGAGAGCTGAGAGCAGGGTGAGGGAGGAAACTCTTCAGATGGGTGTTTTATTGTGCCACAAACTCAAAGCACACAAATGCCCTCTGTCCATTTTCCACCTCCAACTAATTTAATACTAATGCTGTTCATTCATAACACTCTTCTCTCAGCTAAGCACTGGTTTCTGGATCTCTTCCCCAAAGGAAGCAGAGATGGGACTCTTTTTAACACAGTACTATTCATTCCACAAATACTTTCCAGTTTGTGCTGACAAAGACTGATGACACTGGGAAGGACAGGGCAGACATTGACTGACACATGCCTGAAGGCAAAAATGTAAAGGTTTGGATTTGACTTGAAAAATAAAACTTGCCCATTTCTTACTAATGCTCCCAAATGTGCCAGCGCCTCCATGAAAATAGAGAATTCCTCTTCTTTTGCCAGTGGGTGGGCTTTTGGGCTGATAAATCCTCAAGGGTACCTCATCTACTGTGAGATCTTTGATAAGCAGTTTGGAATCTCTCCATGGAGGAATCCCATTGACCGCTGCTCGCAGTATGGTTAAATCATTGCAGATCCCCAGCTTCTCCAAAATCTTTCCCTGTTGAAAAGAAAGAATTTGGAAGAAGAGGAGTAACGTGCTCTGAACAGTACATTATTCTATGTACATGCAGTTCAATATGTACAGGGTACCTCTGGGTATTTGTTTTAAATTTCATATAAAACAGCATGAAGTGGCTGCAGTTTGACTGAAAAATCTAAAGAAGCTTTTAAGATTAGCCATATTAAGTTTATGAGTTAATTTACCATGTTTTGGATTCATATATCAATGCTTACAGGCTTCAGGAATATGAATTGGTTTTTTTCTTTTTTTTTCCCCTCAAGTAATACATTTTCCTCCTCCTCCCAAATATCCTACCTAAGCAAAAGTGAAATCCCCAGGTTAAGAAATTTAACTTACCGCGACCATGGTCGTGATCATCAAGGAGTGGAAAACACGAAGCTTTAGAGGTTGCTCAATTCCAGGTGGCAATTCTGTTTTGAAAAAATCATATAATACAACTCCCCAAAACAGTGCTGGTACTAAAACAGGAGAAATAAAAAACATTCCTATAATTGCCAAAGTTGTATAAACAGATGCCATTTCACTTCAAAACAGGAGGGAATGCTATAAAACTGGGTTAAGCCCTGTTTTCAAATGCATCTAAGGTGTCTTCACAGAAGACTGAGTGCTCAGTTCATATGCAGAAATTAAATGTTTATTAATGTTGCAATGCAATGTAATGCAATTTTCTCCACCCTTCTTTTGCTAATGATATTATTCATAACACTTGTCTGCTTTCCCTATAGCCTTTACAGAAGGTGGGATTCAAACTGTATGGAAGTGATTAATACTATGAGCTTTTCACTAACAAGGAGAAATTATTATTCAGAGGGGCCTTGATTTGAAGATGATCTTTTTGGTTTGTAGTGGATTCATTTTGGATGAACATTGTTAAATTTTAGTGATGTGGGGCTACTTGCATTTGTCATCAGAGCATATATACACTTCTCTGAGAAGAAAAATCCACATTTTTTAATAAACTCTGTTTCATAGGGGAATGCACTAACACATTCATGGTTTAATTTTTGTTTAAATAAGAGTATATTTGCTCTGTGTTTAAAATCAGTGCAAGCCTGAATGTACACAAAGGAGTCTCCAGACACTTGAGGGTATGTTTGTAGACTGAAGCCACTGTTGCTGCAGGTAAAAGCTTTTTAGCAATTAATCCTCAGCGTTTCATATTCACTGTAATTCTTGTTTTCAGTTCAGTTTAGAGGCATTATAAATACATATGTATTGGTGAGAGATTGATAACTGTTGGTGGCACTTGTTGGTGAAGTATCTTTCTGGTTTGTGTTTTTACTAGAATTACATTTTCTACATGATTTAAAATTTACATTCGCCAAACATTTTGTGCCTTGGCTTTTAAAGTGGAATTCCAGTCTGAAAACGGAATTAGTCTTCAGTTTCATTAGCACAATATTTAAATCAAAGCAACACTGAGAGCTGATTTGCACAACATTGGCTTGTGAAGGTAAGGATGTGTGGGATGAAGCAACATCATAAATTTGTGCCAAGGTTTGTGAAATAGGGAGATCATTAGAGCCTTTTCTGGGCTGAGATTGGCTGATCTGGAGCCTTTCCCTTCCACAGAGCACAAATTTAGGATACAAGTAGTTAAAATGTTGGACTGCAGAGTATTGAAGCCAAAGCCAGGTGCCCATGGCCAGTGCTTAGCTTGTCCTGAGCTCATCAGATGTTTTCCACAGGGCTCTGCAGCACAGCTGGGGCAGCCCAGCGGTGTTTGTGGTCGTTAGTTCCAGAAATGTTTCCCTGTAGTGTGATATTATGGCACAGCCTGTGGGGATTTGGCTTTTTTTTCCCATATATTCCTGTAAGAACAGCACAGTTTACCTAAGTGCTTATTTCTGATGTCTGCACCATCAGTCAAAATATCCTGAAGTAAATTCTCACATGGATATCAGCTCTGAATCTTGTATTTCAGCATTCTTGATGATTTCTTATATTTGAATCCTCAGAGGAGGCAATTTCTGTGCTTTCTAAAGAACCTTTAATCAAGAATAAAAGAATTCTTAAAGGTACTTAGTACTTCAGTGGCAGTAAATGAAACTTGTAAAGGTGACAAAAGGCAATTAAACACCTGCTATTTAAGTGATCAGATTATGAAAGCCTTATACCACAGAGCACATGTCTGTCTGCTGTTACCTCTATGAGCTCTTGCTGACACTGTTTTGACACAAGATTTCTTCTCCTATTCAGTGAGTCAGTAATTAATCGGCTTTAATCAAAACCAAAACACCTCACACATGCCACCTCTGTTTTGAAACCTTGATGGACCTGATAGAGTGGGAGGAAAAATTGCTTTACTGTCTTTTTATTTAAAAATAAATTTACAAAGGGACAGTTTGGAGTTTTTTGTTTTAGGCCCTGGCAGTTATTTACAGAATCTCTTGTACGGTCATGACAATCTGAACAAAAATCTTTCAGTTCTGCATTACAGCCTTTCTGTTGTTAAAGAAATGTTGGTGAATCAATGTTTCAAAATAATATCCTAAAGTTTTAATCTCTTAATATGTTATACTGTTAGAGTATACTCAGCATGTGAACTTTGTTTGCTGAAGAACAAACTCATCCCCAAACCCCAACTTCCACAAAGTCTTTACCTATTGATGAGAACACACTTGCCCTAATTAAAGGTTGATGAGATTCCACTAAACCAGAGAAAACTAACACAGTGTGGAGTTTGACATTGTAATGAGAGTTATGAGCCTCATGTGGTTCCTTATTGTAACAAAACAGCTCCTCAGAGCTCATCAAATGATTCTTTATTCTTTGAACTTGGTGTTGCTGGAGTTTGATGAGTACAGAATTGAGAATAGTTGGGTAAATGCTTCCCATTTTCTCATCAGCAAGCCTCCATTTATGCATTCTAAAATTCATTCTCTTCTTGATTTTTCAGCATATTTATAATAGTTATAATAATTATGGGAATAGGAAGTACAATATGATACCTACCCAAAGAAATGTGGTGTTTGCAGGTTTTCCCAAGACTTAGCTTTGTGGATTTTCTAAAGCTTCACACATAGCTTTGTAGGCTGAGAATGTGAAAAACTCATCAACTTCCCCTTAATTTGTTAGTGGAAGAGGCAGCAGCTGACAAACCCAACACTATGCAAGGCAGGAGCACTCAGGGCAGTTGGTGCCAATGAATTCTGTGACTGTCCTGAGTTATTGGTTTTCTTGTGAAGTTTCTCCAGAACATTACAACACGTTTCACCTGTGTTGCAGGCTGTTTCCAGCACTGCTGACCTGCAGTCAGTTGACTATTGCAGAGTTTCTCTGTGTAACACAGGAAATCCTATGATGAGTAACTGAAGCATTGTAAAGTAGTCAGCTGTGATGACTGAGTATTGATTTCAGCAGGTATAGCCAGGAAGCAGAAAACAATAACATATCACAAAGAAAATTTAAACCCAGAAATAATAGCTTCTGATAGAGTTCTTTATTTTTTTAATGTTCATTTCAAAGTGAAACACTCTGGTAAATATAATTTGCCTTGCTTTTAAAAATTATTCTTATTTCCTCTAGGTAATTGAGCAGAACAATTAGAATCTGTAGAGTACTTTACCTGACTTTGTTTTTATCACTTCGAGCATGGGAGGAACTTGCCATACTTGAGTTCACATTTCTACATTTCACATTATGCAAACAACTGACTGAAGGCACTCAGAGCTTTTCATACCTGTAAGTCTGGGCCTTCTGATCTGTGAGACTGATTTAATATGCCCTTCACAGTGACAATAAGAAGCATTAAGAAATTACAGCTTAGTACATGCTGTACCATAGTGGTTTTTAGAGGTGCTGTGTATTTGCTTCAGCTGCCTCCTACCTACCTTTCAGTGTCCTCCCTTCTTGTTATCTCCATCTCCCCACCCAAATAAGTAGTTAGTTCCTGTATGCTTTGCTCTTACAACAGAAAGCCACTTTGCACTTGGCATAAATCTTTATTTTAGCCTTTTCTTTCTGCCTTCTCTTCTTTGAAGTCTGTCCCTTCCAAATAGCTCCTAGGCTAAACAGCTGCTAACAAATTCTGGAGTAAAAAGCTGTACTGTATTAAAAAAAAAAAAAAAAGACAAATGTTATGTATTGGCATTCAATGATGGAAATTCAGATCTTGTCTTGTGCAGTTCAGAGCAGGTGCATTTTTGAAATGCTTATTTAACTGGAGGGGTTTGTGGAGCAGCACTGGGAAATGTGGATGGATTTTTGGGTGTCTATGTCTCTGTTACTGTGCAGTTCTGTTCCTCAGAGTGAATGAATTCTGCTCCATACATATGGATTCCAAAAAGCTGCTCTGGAGCATCCACTTAGGATTTCATGGCAGGTCATCACATCAAAATGAATCTTATTAAATCAGAAGTTGCTTGAAGGTAAATATAACAACTTCAGCTGCCCTTCTTTGCACATGGCCAGGTTTGTCTGAGTCTCAGTATCCCAGATATTCAGGTTAGCAGTGTCTGCACTCTCACAGGAATCAGCAAACACAGGGAATAACTGAGACAAGGAAGACAGCAATAAAAACAGCCAGAGTTTGCAGGATTCTGCCTGAGCAGTGAAGAGAATGGGTATCATAGGCAGAGAATAGTGTTAAATAACATTATTTATAAATAATAGAGCTAGTAAACTTGGAATGTTTTCTAATTTCCTGTTTATTTTAAAAATGCTATGGTATCTGAGTTGTAACTAGTGTGGTATAAAGAGGTGATGTGAAGACAACAAAGCAGAGGATAATTGAAGTTGTAAACTTCTGTAATTCACCACTCCAAACCTGATTGGTTAGAATGGGTAGTGTAAAGTTGTTATGGCGTAATATGTGCTCTGTTATTAAGCAGAAAGCTTCAGGCTATGAAGGCATAAGAACAAGTTCAGTAAAATATTGAAATCAAACCACAGTTTGATCTTTGGTAATGTGTTTCAGGTACTCACATTGTGTGCCCAGAGCACAGGGAGGTTTTCCAGGTTATTACAGACTCAGCTGGTGCTGACATCTGCTGATGGAATGATGCAGGGCAGTTTGCTTTCCCTTCCTTCATTTCCTGCAACGTCTTCCTGTCACACAGAGCAGCTCAAAGAGTGTCAGGCACCCCCAGCTGCACTGAGCTTCCCAGCATCTCACTGCTTTTCAGGTTTCTCACTGGTTTTCAGGTTTTGACAGTGTTCCAATCTGCTCCTGGATCCTTTTATTTGTGTTACAGTGCTCATGGGCATACTCTAGAGACCAGTTAAAGAAATGTGGCTCATGCCCGCCTGCTCTGGGGTTAATACCTCTGGATGGACCAGCCTTGTCCCCACCCTGTTCCTGTGTGGAGGGCAGCTTGGGTCGTCACTTCACTCAGGGTGCAAACTCTGGAGGGAATTATCACCTCAGGCACCTCACCCTCCTCCCTTGAGGAAGGAATTAGTGGATTTTATCAAGAAGGGAAAGAACTGCCACAGCTAAGGAAACTTGTCAACGATATATTTTCCTAAGTTCTTCATAGGCAAAAACTCATCAATAACTCAGAAGCTCTCTGGGTTTTAAAAACACATAATTTGTAGTATCTTCATCATATGGGGTATAATACCCATGAGAGGTTTGACAGCTGTTGGCCTTTGTGTCAGT